TACAAGACTAGTTTTCTTATCATCTGACAAAAACTTGCATATTAATTACTGTTGATGTTTAAAATAGGTAAATAAACCTAATTTATATAGGTCATCCTCAACATATCAGTGAAGTACGTTTGTTTTAGAATTAATTTTCAAAAATTAATAACTCCCTTAATAAGGGGTATTTTTAAAAAATAATATTTTTCTACATTCAGTGGGGATCTGCGCAATACCCAGTTTTAATATGTACGTATATTTCAATAACACCCTGTATAATAAACGAGTTATAAAGTTTAGCAATGTTCAATATATTGTATAACTCGCTCTACACATATATTGTGAAGTACGTACCTGTATGAAATAAGTACGTAGCATTTAAATTAGATCTACTTAAGAAAGTGGATAATTATTAACTTTATTGTCTCGTGTGTACAAAATTGTCACAGTTAGATTAATTACCCTGTATATTTTAAATTCTTATGGTTACATATCTAATGTAAATTAACTTACTCAAAAGTCAATAAAGAAATGCAAGGATTCATTTTAACAAATTTCAAAACATAATGTGTTTGTAGCGGAAGTGCAGAATTATTGAGTGTAAAAATATATTGTGATTTATTCGTAAATCATCCTGTATCTTTAAATATTTTAAACCGTCCCATGGGCATTTAGCCAGATCGGGTTATACTTAACCTCTCTATTACAAACAATTCCGGTCTCTGTAATATGAAATCCCTTTCAGCGCGTTTATGACACTGCTTCGACAATAACATTCAAGAAAATTTCAAAGGCGTTGTTGTCAATAACGACGACAGTGTGGATCTGGTACATTATCTGTTAGATAAAGATGCAAAATAAACACTGACAACGTTCCATTATGCTTTGAACTTTTAATCGCTTGGAATAAATATAAATAAAATATTGAAAAAATGTGTTTTGACTTTTTCGCGACAACCAGAGGAAAAGGACCGAAAACAAAAACAAAACTGGAACAAAATGTAGTCCGCTTGATGGAAACAAGAGTTTTGGGTTTTTCCCAGTTTTGTTTTTGTTTTCAAGTTTCAGAAAACACAAACCAAATATAAAAACAACTGTTCATTTAATGGAAAACAGCCTTTATACATGTATGCGGATTTATAATAGTCATTCTTCCAAAATAAAACATAAACAATACCTTTGAATTAAAAAAGAAATTGTTCGAGTTTCTAGTTGAATTAGAATCCTATACATTAAGTGAATTTATTAATTTATAGACCTTTTCTGAACAATATTTTTGGTTATAATATTTGTAATATTTTGTTGTTGGTATTGCCATTGACCCTATTTCATTATGCTATTTTTTTACTCCTGAAATAAAGTTTTGTTTATTTATTTATACAGGATGATGAAGTTACGATAATTTTTACACGACCTTTAACGAACTCCAGATTTAAACTTATATCTAAATTTATTATTAGAACTAAAAAGATAAAGACCAAATGTTATTTTTAAATGGCAGGCCTAAAGTGACAAACTATTTTAACCCTGGTAGGCTTAAGAAGCAACAGGTCCAAATATTTTTACACAAGCAGGCTTAAGGGACAAAGGTCCTAAATATTTTTACATAGACAGGCTCAAGGGGTAAAGGGGCCAAATCATTTCATATTGACAGGATTAAGGATTAAAGATACCAATGTTTTTTTAGATAAACAGACTTAAGGAACAAGGGTATATTTTACGTGAGTAGGCTTAAGAGGTAAAGAGTCTGGCATTTTTACTTTAAAAAATAAATATATTATTTTATTGAAAATAGTGAACTTAATGCATGTTAGGTTGCAAATCTCTAAGTATGTGTTTTCACCTCTGGGATTCGGAGATTTTTCTAATAATTCGTAAGGGAGATTTTTGAGATTTATTTCCAAATTTTAAAATTATTTCTATTATTTTAATAATAGGCAATAATAGCCAATATATTTTAAGAAATTTTTATGTTTATAAAATGTTTATTATATTTGAAATTAAAATTTAAATGTATTACACTATTCTGTTTATCTTTAAAAAATAATTTATTACTAATTACATAATTTCACGGTATATTAAAGAAGATATTATTTTAAATGTAACTACGTTAAATCATCTTATTTGAATGTACGTATTTGTACATAAATCTACATTTAAGTATAAATAGTAAAATTGACTTAATATTAGATCACTTTTCAAAAAAGTAAAAACTAATAATTCAAAATGAAGGTAGCAGTTTCAGCTTTAATTTTCACCATTGGTAAGATTTTTTTTATTTGTGTACTATCTTCTTTGAGTTCGACTTTTGGAAAAGTCAGTTTCCGATTCTGGGTTGTAACAATAAACGAATTATGCATTTCAAGAAATGTATTCTTTTTATTGTTTGTATTTTTACTTAATTATTATTATTCAATGTTTATATAGCTATGTCTAGCTGCTGGGCTGCTACAATATCAACAACACCATGTACTTGCCCTAACATTGTAAGTCCGATTGTCGGTAAGTTTCGAATTTTCATATTGATGATTTAAAATGAAAATATTTAATTAATTTGAATCATTGAAGTGGAAATTTCTTTTGGTGAGCCTTTGAATAACTTTTTATCCTAAACAAATTTTCAGTGCAACATTTGAATTGTAAACAGTTAGTGTTGCATCTTACAGTTAAAACTTTATTTCCATAATAATACTAAAATAACTTTTTTATAATTTTTGTAGATTTGCCAATTCCAATGCCAAATAAGTTTTCACTTCTGAGTTTAGGCACACACTCTTTTTTTATTTTTTATTGTTATTACTTTTATTTCAGACTTGCTTACTTTGGTTATAAACACTTTGCAACCAATTTTGAAAATTCTACCCCTAAAACTTGGAACGATAATCACTGAAGTAGGTCATTTATTGGTATTGGTTCTTAAGACACTTGGAACTGCTTTGTCTGGAGGACAAATCGATGTTAGCACTATTGCTGCCTACCTGGTTACTGCACTCGGTACTGTAGTTGAAAGTGTAGGCAAATAAAATGTTTGATTGGCATAAAATGATGGATAAGTTAAAGTAAAAATAATAATAAACTATATAAAGATTAGGTTGTTTTATTTATAGTCTTTGAGTCACGAATTAAGAATAAACAACTGTATAATGCTTTAAAGATTTAATATAAACAAATAAACATAAAATGTTACCAAATTATTTTTTAAATTTTTACAAAAAAAAATCACAAAAAAAAGATAGTTGGTTAGACATAGTAAGCACTATGACGGTATAGCCAACATACCTATGTATATTACGTATATTATATGATCAAATTTGTTTACACAATTTTTATTTTCATTTAGACAAAGAACACCTTTACCATAGTGTACTCCCATTTCAAACGGCGGACTTTCTCTTTTCCTAACCTGAATTATTTAAAACTCATTGGATTTTCGGCTAATTTTGTACAGTTATAAGAGAAAATTATAAATAACTGGAGATGCTAGCCGAGATATTAGTATGCATCCACTTTTTTGTCGTTTAATCATCAATTACGTGAAAGTATTGATTGAATGAGTAAGTAAATAGGAAAGTAGGTAATTAAACAGATAAAGATAATTTGTCCTCTTCATCTTCATTACCGGCAGTAACTACCTCTTAATTTTCTCTTTAGTTTTTATGGTCGTGATCGTCAATAGTTGGTGGATATAAAAAAAGTATTCTAACCAACCCAATAAGTTCCATCAAAATGCTCTATATCATCCAGATCTTCCTCATTATCTTTCGACTCCGTTCCAGATAAAACTTAAGCATTTACGAAAAAAATGAAATGCATTTTCAAAAAAATTAGCTAACGAAAGGTACTTTGCAATCACATCCATAAAAACAATAGTACAAATATCACGATTGTGCAATATTATTTTCTGTTACCTTTCATACTGTTTCACAAGTTTTTGATTGTATATTTCAGAAATGCATATTCGAATTCGAGAAACGCTAAAATGGTGGTTCCCTCCTTATCGAGACTAAGGCCCACAAGGGTAAACTCGTAGCGTAAAAAAACAAGAAATGATTTAACTTGGAACGAAAGACCGAAAGCCGATAGTAGTATTAGGACGTTTGTGAAGCATTGGCATTAATTAGGTTAACCCATATGATGATTTTCACAAGCCTTGATTTTTAAAACCATTCTATATCTTCTTTTGATTAGAGTTTACAAACTTGTTCGAGCAATTTATCCAATAATAATTGGACCCTTTACCTCTTAGGCCTGCTCATGTAAAATATTTGGGATCCTTACTTCGCCTATTTATATTCTATTAATAAAGGACATAAGGATGACTATTGCAACTATGTTAAAAGAAATAAATTGGCTTTTAGTTCAGAATTATGTTCAGTACATGACTTTCAGCTGGGGTATGAAAACCATGTAAACTTGGATAATAATTATTATTTAAACTTGCAAATAATCATGTTTATTTTTAACTTAAGCCTTGGGATTAAAAAATGGTTTATTGAATAATATTTTTGGAAAATCATTGAAAAATTGCCTTTTTTAATATGAATTGACAGACATTTTTTCCCATTGTTATATTAGTTTAGGTCTTTGCAAGGGCGGCCGCAAGACGAATTTTCGGGGGGGCGGGGGCGGGGGCATTGCCTTTAGATATTTCCTTTTTTAGCATATTTTTTGAATAAAAGGCTCATAAATCATAAGAATTTTCATCTCGAGGGAATGGGGGTCATGGCTCCTACAGCCCCCCTTGGAGCCGCCCTTGGGTCTTTGAGTAATTTATGATAAAACCCATATTTCTTAAGTTTTAAAGGCAACTTAATGTTATATAAGAGATATGTTACTTCATTCACTACTTAGTTTAAATAAATTGAGTTTTGCTTAGATTACGACATACAGTCGTAATATATTTTTCAATATTATCAAATAACAGTGCTAGTAATATTGATAGGACAAGGAATTGACATTGAAAAAAAATATATTCTTTTAATATTTTTATTTTTATAATTAAGATAAAAACATTTTTCATCACATCCAAATAATTTATTTGCCTATACCTCCAAGGATAGCAGAAAGCAAATGGCCAATTCCACCTAATAAGAAAGTAGCCTTTCCAATTTCGACCTTAACTAAAATGTTGATTATGACAACCAAGAGACTAAGTAGAGCATTAACAATTAATCCAAGACCAAGTGGAAGAACATGTAAAATTGGAGCCAAAGCCTCTTGCACACTGGTGATAATATCTGAAATTAAATGAAAATTGATTATTATATTTTGAATGAAAAGTAAATTAATTTATTGCATCTTAAATCCATAATACATATATAAAGCTTTTATAACTCTTAATTTTGTAACTTTTAAACTTACAAAATCATTACATTTAGTAATATAATTAATATTATACCAGTTCAAATCACAAAAAAAAAATAAACTTACTGGTGACAGCAGATAAAGAAGTTGCACAATGTGTGCATTTATTAGTATCATCTGCCCAACAACTGGCGATGGCTGGAAATAAAAAATAAATTGAAAACATCACAAAAATTAGTTAAATATTTAATAAAACAACGGTTTCACATTTTGATTATTTAGCGGTTGCAATTTTCTAAAAGCTTTAACAGAATGTAATGTTAAAAACAAGAAAGATGAACAAACTAACTCGAACTTAAACCATGTCTAAGAAATTGATAAACAAAGAACACCGTAAACTCCGGTTAAAACTTAATCCATCTTTACGGTCTTAAAAGACATATAAATCTCTTTGAACAAGTTTTGTCCCATTTAACCATGGAATTTATCAGAAAGTTTGGCTATTATGGTGAACTATAAGTCAGACATGAATCACAATAGACCCATCTGAATCGCAGTGAAAGGCGATGAGATTATTCCACTTATTTCAACCTAATTTAGAGATTTTCTATGAGTAAAATGTGAAAGGTAGATAAATCCCTGTCTACATATTATACTACTGTCGAAATCTTTAATACGAAGTAGAATGGTACTTAGGGGTACGACATTCAGAAGTCGATCAGGAATATTGTTAAAAACGTCAAATGTGGATATTAATTTCTTGGAGTAAAAAACTACTAAGAGTATATACTTTGAGTACGTGTAAATTTCGAATCACTTCCCAATTGAGATAGATAAAAGAGTATCAATAAAATCAGTTTTTCGCCATAAAGAATGTCTAAAATACAAGTAGCAGTAACTTATCGTAAAATAGCTGAAGAAGCGAAGAGTTTAATAATGGATGTGTCATCAAGAAAAAGAATGTTCTTTTCTAAATTGCATTGATAATAGAAAGCGCTGGGTAGCTCTTCCTATATAACTCATATCCTTAGTATTTGTTAGAACTTATTATATTACCAAACATTTTTACAATGTAGACATCATTTTTTAAAGTTGATATATTAAAGAAGGAGAAAACCTAAACAAAAATAAGCATTAAAAAGAAATTGTAATTTGGTAAAAAAAATGGAGACGGCTAACTGAGCCTTAAGTTCACAAAAGTATATTATTTTTCTTAAATAAGTGAATCTATAATGCTACATCAAAATTATTTTAATAAAAAAGGAAAGAATAAACAATACTTGTATACATTGGCACAAAATAATAAATAAAAATCTTACCAATGGCGAAAACTAGAGCAAACACTGGTCCCTTCATTTTGTATTTTTAGATATTGATACTTTTCAACACTGATGTTATTTCTCAATTTTTTTAGTATTTATACAGAAAAATTATCAGAGATGTATGTATGTGAAATAATTATATTTTCAAATGACAAGATAGTGATAAAATTAGCATATTAAAATTATGCCTTTCTTCAATAAACCGTAACATTATGCTACTGACAAATATATTAGTTTAGTATAATTATTATTAATAGGTACTTACCCGTTATTAAAAATTTACTTAATTGATTTAAAATTAAATTTGTTGCAAAGAATTGAAGAAATTCCATTCTTTTTTCCAAAATACCGAAGCCCGGCTGATAATTAAATTAATACTGATTAAGAAGATTATCTATATCTCAAATATGGTGTGTCCAAACAGGAAAAAATATTTAATCCAGAGGCAACTAGTTTCTGTCAAATAACCATCATCAGGCATAAGTAGTGAAAAAATTATACTAAGAATCAATCTGTAAATGCAATTAGGATTATATCCTTTGATCCTTGAAGTCGTAGTCACACAATAACGATTTTCCTTCCACTAGTTAATAATGTGGTTAAGAGTTTTCTTTTCCTTAAATTACTACTATTCGTGTCGAAAATCCAAGACACGAAAATTAAAATGTAGGCTGGTGTCTATTCAATTTACAATTATTTGATTGGTTATAAGATTGCTTATAACGGCTAAAACAAGTGTCTATCAGTACAGTAAAATTACAGTTTGTGTTGAAGAAAACCTTCAACATATTATATTTAAATTAAAATACAAACCACAGGGTGATTCAAAATTGAGTGTAAAGATTTTAAGGGCGTATGTACCAGCCAAAAATAAGAAATTTTTTTCATATAATCATATGTCCTAACTTGCTTGATACAGAGTGTCAAAGTTTTTTTAAAAAAAATCGGCTTTTTATCAATTACTCAAAAACCTTTGGTCAGTAGAAAATAAATTTATTAATTCCAGTGGCGTCTCAGGGGGTTCCATACTTGATACTTATAGGTAAAATTATTGTACCGCATACTGCTTTTTTGACAGTTAAAACTTTTTTTAGATTAAACAATCAATAATGTAAGTTTAAAACACGTTTGCGTCAAAACGATTCTATTATTTAGTAAACACATGGAAAGGCGCTTTTCATCGTCCTATTTAAATATGAGTGAACAGTCTCTATAACGATATATCGATGGCTCAATCAAATACTGCCACAACTAAAATACTATTGTTTCGAGAAATTTCATTTTGAAATTTTGTAAGTCCCTATTATCATTATTTTGTTTTTGACATAAAATCTTTATATTTTATTTAAAAACTTCGATATTTTGCTGTTAAAATTAACGATTACGGTTATAAAAGCGAGTTATTGCATAGTTTGTAAAAAATTTGGGTGTTTTTGCAGAAAATAACTTGAATTGAGGCAGTTTTAGATTTAAAATGATTTTCAGACACCTTTAAGGATATTTTTGTCTGTGGCGGTATTTAAAGTGAAACCTTAATGATATTTTGCATCCATTGAACCAAAAATGTAATTTTCTTTGTTTTCTGAGTTGTGGCGGTATTTGATTGAGCCATCGATATATCATTAGTCATATTACGGCAAACGAGCCGTATTAATTAACATCAAGTTTAAACTTGCTGGATATTATTAATTTCTAAAGAGGAGTCTTAAACGAAAAAAAAAGTTTTTCTGGATTTCCAATAACGCGCGCAAGGGTAACTAATGATATTTAATTTTAAAAATAAAGCAGTTTAAAAGGTTTGTATAATTTTTTTGTCTGAAATTTAAGTTATGAATAGTAAGTTTGACCATATACTTGTTGTATGGCCAGCCTAGTGCTATTGTGACAATTACCTATTGTTTTTCCTTTTTTCTTATTTACTTTTCTCCGTATTTATTTAAATTCTAAATAAATCGAAAAATATCTAAAATTGACCGGAAGTGTAAGCGATAAATCAATACCTACCAAATTTTATATTTTGGCGATAAATAATTAAAAACAATATATATTATTTTGTTACTAAGCAATTTTACATCAATGTGTATTATTTCTAAATAATTTTAAAGTGTTTCACTATTTCGTTTATCTTTAAAAAATAATTTAATACTTACATAATTTTACGGTATATTGAAGAGGATATCATTTTAAATATAACTGTATTAATTCATCTTATTTAAATGTACATATTTGCGCATAAATCTTTGATATATTTTAGTATAAATACTGAAATTGGCTTAGTATTAGTATCAGTTTTGAAAAAAGTAAAAACTAAAAATCCAAGATGAAGGTAGCAGTTTCAGTTTTAGTTTTCGCCATTGGTAAGATTTTTTTTTATTTATTTTTGGATTATTCATTATTTTACGTTTTCTCTGTTTTAAAGTCAATTTACTGTAGTTTGTCATTTAAAAATAAACAAATTATCTATCTCAAAAAATATATTCTATTTATGTTTGCATAGTTTCTGTTTTTTCATTTCTTAATAAGCAATTTCAAAAGCGATGTAACAAGGATCCTTACCAAGCATTGTCGACCAAAAGGATTGTAGAAAATAGCTTGTATAATTTGTGGTATAGTACATTACCTCAATTATAATTTTTTTGTCGGATTTTTCTTAATCAAAATAAAACAGACAACATATTAAAATATACGTTTTGGAAAGTCGAGTTATTGATATTAAAATATGACAGTGTGGGGATAAAAAAAGGCAATTTTTTATTCTATTTATTAATTATTATTCAATGTTTAGCCATGTCCAGCTGCTGGGCAGCAACAACATCAGCAGAAACAACAACAAAACCATCATGTACTTGTCCCAACCTTTTGACTCCTATTGTTGGTAAGTTACACATTTTCAATTACATTTTTCATATTGGTAATTTAAAATTGAAATACATCAATGATTATTATTATAACTTTTATTTTAGACTTGCTTAATTTGGTTATAAAGACTTTGCAACCAGTTTTACATATTCTTCCCCTAAGTCTTGGAACCGTAATCACTGCAATATGTAACTTCTTGGTATTCGTTCTTAAGACAATTGGAACTGTTTTGTCTGGAGGTCTTATCGACGTTAGCACTATTGTTTCCAACCTGGTTACTGCACTCGGTGGTGTACTTGGAGGTTTACACAAATAAAATGCTTGGTTGGCCAAAAATGTTATTTTAAGAAAAAAAGTATGAATAATAAAATATATAAAGCCTAAAATAATTGTTTTATTTATTGTTTTCCTTCATATAATATTGAAACATATATATTGCATAACGTTTATTTATTTAAATTTATTTTCATTAATTTGTTTATTGAATAAATTTACCTATTTGTACTCAAAACCAAACCGATTTTTATCAAATACTTCATGTGAAAACGGACATACGTTAACTGTGGATGAAGGCTGCCAAAGTGATTCAAAATAATATATTTATGTTTAATGGGTCTTTGGTCGTTTATAACTGAGGTACAATTTGGTTTATTTGTTTGTTTATTCATTACTTGGTTTTTTTTTTTTGACGTTTAGTACACTTATGGAATATTCCAATTATTTTTGCGTAACGACATTAGAACCTTATTTATAGCTAGTATGTCTAGAAGAAAATCTTAACTGCTTCCAGGAGGCGAACATTTGTCCAATAAATCTTTTCAAATTACGATATTTTTGAGATTCACAACACTTCTCTTAAAGCCAAAATAAATATGACTTATTGGAGAATCGCCTTACGAAATATTAAGAGGATATTTGCCTATTTGCTAGTAAACTCATCTTAAATTTAGTTTTAACACTCTATAAAAGGAGAAAGTATCTCGACCCAACTTGTAGAAAACATATATGCTCGTATAACTTTTCGTTCTACCCCATTTTAAAGATTATTTCCTACTTTTTAAAAATGAATATTCCGTGTTCTTCTTGAGCCACTTTCTCAAAGTTCGTTTTTAGTTAAAAAAAAAATTGAAAATATATTTTTTTGATCAATTATATCAACTTTTTTTATACAAAAATAAATCCGAACAAAAAACTTGTCTTTAGATTAATATATATTAGATCATTACAAACGATTATTATTTATTTTGCTAAAAAATTGATAATAACTATAGTAATATGATAGATAAAAAAATTGTTTTGAATAAATTTATAGGGTAAAAGCGGACTTTTGTTTTTTATATTTGTAAAGTTTACCAATTTTTTTGTGCTTTCGATTTTTTAATTATTTAAATAAAAAAATGTAAAGAAATATTATTTGAGTAAGAAGTGTACCAGTAGATGACAAGGATGTAATTTTACATTCAGCTATTGAATGCACTGGGTTCTATTTAGTTAATTTCAATATCTTTTTTAATTTTGCTATTTTTTTTTAATACCTTTTTATCGAATACCTTTATATGGCATATAAGAACCACTGCCTGACATGTCAAATGTTCTAATAGCTGACATTGTAGAAAATGGTACCAATTATCAGTCATTATCAGTATTCATATTCTTCCTCATTGCTATTACATTGACTTGTAGTTTTACACTTTAAATATATTTTTTTGCCAAAATACAAATAATGCCTTATACTCTATTTTCTATCCATGTGTTTTTTAAATTCATCTAATAACATGTTAATCCCAGTAACAATCAATTACCAGCTCCGGATAATCTATTTTAAATGTTATTTTTAAATTGTGAAAAAGAAAGTAGTTCTACTTGTGGATATAGAAAAAATGGCTTATACTGTACTATAGAATGTTCGCAATGTAACGAAAATATTTATTTTTTTTAATCAAGATCACAATTTTTATATTGGTAAACTTTTTTATATATATTGGTTACAACATATTTCATTTAAAATTTTTAAATTTCATTCAATGTTTTTAACGCCCCAGGAGCTCCCTTAATATGTTACATTCATCTACTTAGGTTAAATAAATTAAATTTTTAGATAACGACATGTGCTCGTAATGGAGGACTCAAAATTATTTTCCTACGACCACTTAGAAAAGTGACACATATCACACTATATCACACGCGTATGAATACGAATTTACTTTCCACCCGCGTACGAATATGCTACTTTCCGCAGTAGCTGTCAGAAAATGTCAAACACATAATTTCTATTTTGATCTATGTAATGTCCACATTAATACTAAAATCGATATGATTGTTAAAATATTGAAATTGTTGTAAATTAGATCCTAGATATTTATGTTTTTTAATTTTTTTTTATTTGTTTAGAAATTATGAAAATTGAATAAATACGATTATGGTTGATTATTTTTTTAAATACATTTTAATTATTATAATAATCTGGTTTTACATTTTTTGATAAAATTATTTTGTGGGTGTAGAAAAAATATTGTACATTGTGTGAAAAGCGATTTTCAACACTCATATGATAGTCGCACTCAGCTTGCGCCTCGTGCGACAATATTTCCCACTCGTGTGAAAAATGTCACTTTCCACACTCGTAATGTAATATACTATTTTAAGTTACGGTACAAGTTATTTTGGTAGGACAAGGAATTGATATTAAAAAAAAATTATATTCTTTAAAATTTTTATTTTTATAATTAAGACTTCACCAAAACATTTTTCATCTGATCCAATTAATTTATTTGCCTATACCTCCAAGGATAGCAGAAAGCAAATGGCCAATTCCACCTAATAAGGAGCCAGCTCCTCCAGCTACGGCCTTACCTAAAATGTTAATTATGACAACCAAGAGACTAAGTAGGGCATTAATAATCAATCCAAGACCAAGTGGAAGAACATGTAAAATTGAAGCCAAAGCCTCTTGCACACTGGTGATAATACCTGAAATTAAATAAAAATTGATTATTATATTTTAAATGAAAAGTAAATTTATTTATTGCATCTTAAATCCATAATACATATATAAAGCTTTTATAACTATTAATTTTCTAACTTTTAAACTTACAAACTCATTATATTTAGTAATAAATTCAATATTATATCAGTTCAAATTATAAAAAGAAATAAAATAAACTTACTGGTGACAGCAGACAAAGAAGTTGCACAATGTGTGCATTTATTAGTATCATCTGCCCAACAACTGGCGATAACTGGAAATAAAAAATAAATTAAAAATATCACAAAACTTAGTTAAATAATTAATAAAACGGCGGTTTCAGACTTTCAATATTAAGCGATTGCAATTTTCTAAAAGCTTTACCAGAAGGTAATATTGGAAATCAAGTAAAAAAACCCTGTAGCTAAAAAAAAAAGCTGCATAAACCAATTGGAACTTAATACCATGTCAAAGAAATTGATAAACAAAGATCACTGTAAACTCTGGTTGAAACTTAATCTAACTTTATGGTCTTAGAAGATATATAAATCTCTTTGAACAAGTTTCACCCGATTTAATCATGGCCTTTATCAAAAGTTGTGAATTTTACGGTGAACTATGAGTCAGACATGAACCACAATAGACCCATCTGGATTGCAGTGAAAGGCGATGAGATCATCCCACTTATTTTCAACCTAATCTAGAAATAGTCGTTTCTCTATGAGTAAAATGTGAAAGATAGAACTAAATGCTACTGTCGAAATATTTAATAGGAAGCAGTATAGTATGACATTCAGAAGTCTATTAGGAACATTTTTAAAAACAGAAAATATGGGTATTAACCTCTTGGAGTAGAAACTACATAATTTTAATTCGTGTTAACTTCGAATCACTTCCCAACTGAGATAGATAAAAGAGTATCAATAAAATCAGTTTATCGCCCTAAAGTGTATCTACAATACAAATAGAAGTAACTTATCGTAAAACAACTGAAGAAGCGAATAATTTAATAATGGATGTGTCATCAAGGAAGCGAATGTTCTTTTATGAAGTGCATTGATAATAGAAAGCGTTGAGTAGCTCTACATGTATAACTCATATCCTTAACATTCGTTAGGACATATTACCAAACATTTTTACAATGTAGACATCATTTTTTAAAGTTGATATATTGAAGAAGGAGAAAAGCTAAACAAAAATAAGCATAAAAAGAACCTGTAATTTGGTAAAAAAAAAAAAATGGAGATGGCTAACTGAGCCTTAAGTCCACAAAAGTATATTATTTTTCTGAAATAAGTGAATCTATAATGCTACATTAAAAATATTTTAATAAAAAAGGAGAAAACAAACAATAGTTATATACATTAGCACAAAATATTAAATAAAAAAAAACTTACCTATGGCGAAAACTAGAGCAAAGACTGGTCCCTTCATTTTGTATTTTTAGATATTGATACTTTTCAACACTGATGCTAATTCTCAATTTTTTTTTTGTACTTATACAGAAAAATTATCAGAGATGTACGTATGTAAAATAATTATATTTTCAAATGACAAGATAGTGATAAAATTAACATATTAAAATTATGCCTTTCTTCAATAAACCGTAACATTATGCTTCTGACAAATATATTAGTTTAGCATAATTATTAGTAGGTACTTACCCGTTATTAAAAATTGTCTTAATTGATTTAATAATAAATTTGTTGCAAAGAATCGAAGAAATTCCCATTATTTTTTCCAAAATACCGAAGCCCGGCTGATAATTAAATTAATACTGATTAAGAAGATTATCTATATCTCAAATATGGTGTGTCCAAACAGAAAAAAATATTTAATCCAGAGGCAACTAGTTTCTGTCAAATAACCATCATCAGGCATAAGAAGTGAAAAAATTATACTAAAAATCAATCTCTAAATGCAATTAGGATTATATACTTTGATCCTTAAAGTCGTAGTTACACAATAATGACTTTCCTTCCGCTAGTTAAAAGAGTTTTCTTTTCCTTAAATTACTACTATTCGTGTCGAAAATCCAAGACACGAAAACTAAAATGTAGGCTGGTGTCTATTCAATTTAAAATTATTTGATTGGTTATGATTCCTTATAACGGCTAAAACAAATGTCTATCAGTACAGTAAAATTACAGTTTGTATTAAAGAAAACCTTAATCATATATTTAAATTAAAATACAAACAACAATATATTTATTTGAAATAAAATACAAACCTAAGTCACTTCTGGCACTTATACTCAAAGACAAATTTCCAATAGCAAGCTATCATGGATGCGCATCTTCAGATGATTGGTTAGGAACCCAAGAATTCTTCGTTAATCCATTCTTATTTAAATTTATACTTTTCCATGTAGGGTACATTCTTATTTTTCTAATGTACATCTACATATTTACAATACGGCGAATAATAATTAATCTTTCAACACTTAAAATTCAATTAACTTATATAAATCGATCCACATGTATCATCAATACATTTTTGGACAGTCAGCTCCAAACACCAACTTACCAAATAACACTTAGTAATCCTAACAACTCACACTACACAAATGCATTGTACAAACTGTCTAGCAAAACATAAAATGTAAAATAATAATAATAATAGTAAACAGTGTAGTTTTGTAAGACCCAACAAACAAGACAAGGCTTATCTGGGGCCTATGCGCGCTTGGGCATTCGTACTCCTTACTCGTCAGCTGTAGGATCAGAAGTACTTAACATATAAAGTACTTAAAATTTTTCGAGTACTGAGTCACATCAAGATGAAAGTACTTACGAGTACCTTTTACTGATTACTTAAGTACAATTTTGAGTACACTTTACAATGATTGAGTTCTTTGTGTACTTAAGTACAATTTTTTTACTTCAAAACAATAATGCATCTATAGAAACCTCTCGGCGATGTTAATAACCTACAGGGCTTTGACTATCCAAGAAGATAGATGTTCGTGCCTGCAGTCTCTAAAAGTCTCTCAGCGTCAACCGGCAGGTTTTTGATGAGTTATTAACGTGCAGAACTTTAATGAATTGAGAATATATCTGTTTGTAGACACCCCTCAGCGTTAATCAGCTGGTTTCTGATGGGCTGATAACGTGCAGGATTTTGATGAGCTGGGAAGATGCAGCTACCTTTAGACATCTCTCAGCGGCAACCAGCAGTTAAAAGGCAGGTTCTATATGCCCCTAGAGAATGTATAACGGACCTTATGATGCCTTATTGCTGTGGAGGAATCCATCTTCTCCATCCTTCAAATACACGACTCCACGACTAAACGCCCCGGGACAAAATAACTTACGTCAAAATGCCCCCCGTCAGAACACCCCCCCCCCCCCCCCCCCCACAAAATTCCTCCCTGTCAACATGAATTTTTAGATAATTTTTTGGATAATAAAATAGATTTTTTTTTATTTTTTTTATTTGATTGCGGGGGGCTGCCGCTCCCTCGACCACTCGTCCTATGTTCCCTAACCTACCCTCCTCACATAACCTGGTTAGTGGGTTTCGTTATTTCCTTTCGTTGAACAGAATTATAATAAAGCAGCAGAGTTTTTTCTTGAGAATTCAACATTTATATTGGAAATTAAATTGATACCAGCACGTACAAAACGTAATAACAAATGATACAAATGACGAGAATAATAGTAATAATAACAATAAATATTTTGAATCGGATTATTTATACATTACGTTGTTGTCAATTTCAAAGCGCCGATCTCGGATTTGATAGTAACATGTATACATTCAATAAAATTATATTTAAATATGTTACAGAGTAACAAAAAGATAGTTCGTCGGGGTAGTTTTGACGAATTAAAAAAAAAACTATTTTGTTATCCAAAAAATTATCCAAAAATTCATGTTGCGGGCGAAATTTCACAGGTTGTTTTGTCGGGGGCGTTTTGGCAGGAGGGTGTTTTTTTGGGGAGCGTAATGACGAGTTATTTTGTCGTAAGGCGTTTTGATACAGGGCATTTAGGTCGGTTACCAAATACAGATAGTTTATATTGTTAATTGAAACTAGTGTAAGATGTTGCTTTGAAATTAATATGTCCATGTTTACAAAAAATGTCAAGGTCCTATTTATAATTAGGCAGCAATTAATAAAATTAATTTTATTTAGTAATCAAGAAAAATTTGTTCTCTATAATTAATTATAATTATTAATATAATAAGTATCAATGTTTTTATATATTTTATGTCTTAGGTATTTACTTAATATGCCAGTCTCAGTTTGTATTTTGATGTTCATTATTATGGGTTTTGTTACTGTTTCCCTATTATAAAATTGTTTAGATATCTTGATATTATTTTACAATATGGAAATTCAATTTTTCAACACAAACAAATGTGGTTTTAAAACGCCTAACATAATATCGTGTCTTGGAGTAAAATAGATCAATCTTTTTTTTTTTGAATAAGGATAATTTCCTGACTGTAGCAGAATTTTATATAAATAAAAATCTTTTTTTGTTTCTTAATATTTAGGTGATGAAATTTTATTTTAAAACATGTTTGGGTTAGAATGATTTTATTAATGAACACAAGGAAAGGCGCTTTTTGTAATCCTATTTAAATATGGTTGAGCAGTCTTTATAACGATATATCATTGGTTATATTGCAACAATAGAGCCATGTTAATTAACATCAAGTTGAAACTTGCTGGAGATTATTAATGTATAAAGAGGAGTATTTAACAGAAGAATAGTTTTTGGATTTCCAGTGCCGCGCGCAGGTGTGACTAATGAGATTTAATTTCCAAAATAAAGCCGTTTAAAACGTTTGTATGATTTTTTTCTTAAAATTAAGTAAAGAATAGTAAGTTTGACCACATATTTGCCGCATGGTCACCCTAGTTTAGGTATTACCAAGAGGCCATTGCGGCAATTGGCTATTTTTCTTACCTTATTTTCTTATTTACTTTTCTCCGTATTTATTTTAATTCTAAATAAATCGAAAAATGTCTAAAATTGACCGGAAGTGTAAGCGATAAATCAATACCTACCAAATTTTATATTTTGGCGGTAAATAATTAAAAACAATATATATTATTTTGTTACTAAGCAATTTTACATCAATGTGTATTATTTTTAAATAATTTTAAAGTGTTTCACTATTTCGTTTATCTTTAAAAAATAATTTAATACTTACATAATTTCACGGTATATTGAAGAAGATATCATTTTAAATATAACTGTATTAATTCATCTTATTTAAATGTACGTATTTGCGCATAAATCTTTGATATATTTTAGTATAAATACTGAAATTGGCTTAGTATTAGTATCAGTTTTGAAAAAAGTAAAAACTAAAATATCCAAGATGAAGGTAGCAGTTTCAGCTTTAATTTTCGCCATTGGTAAGATTTTTTTTATTTATTTTTGGATTATTCATTATTTTACGATTTCTCCGTTTTAAAGTCAATTTACTGTAATTTGTCATTTAAAAATAAACAAATTATCTTTCTCAAAAAATATATTCTATTTATGTTTGCATAGTTTCTATTTTTTCATTTCTAAATAAGCAATTTCATAAGCGATGTAACAAGGATCCTTACCGGGCATTGTTGACCAAAAGGATTGTAGAAAATAGCTTGTATGATTTGTGGTATAGTACATTATCTCAATTATTATTTTTTTGTCGGATTTTTCTTAATCAAAATAAAACAGACAACATATTAAAATATACGTTTTTGAAAGTCGAGTTATTGATATTAAAATATGATAGTGTGGGGATAAAAGTAGCAATTTTTTATTTTATTTATTAATTACTATTCAATGTTTAGCCATGTCCAGCTGCTGGGCAGCAACAACATCAGCAGAAACAACAACAAAACCATCATGTACTTGTCCCAACCTTTTGACTCCTATTGTTGGTAAGTTGCACATTTTCAATTATATTTTTCATATTGGTAATTTAAAATTGAAATAAATAATTAATTATTATCATAACTTTTATTTTAGACTTGCTTAATTTAGTTATTAAGACTTTGCAACCAGTTTTAAAGATTCTTCCCCTAAGTCTTGGAGCCGTAATCACTGCAATATGTAACTTCTTGGTATTCGTTCTTAAGACAATTGGAACTGTTTTGTCTGGAGGTCTAATCGATGTTAGCACTATTGTTTCCAACCTGGTTACTGCACTCGGTGGTGTACTTGGAGGTTTACACAAATAAAATGCTTGGTTGGCCAAAAATGTTATTTTGAGAAAAAAAGTATAAATAATAAAATATATAAAGCCTAAAATAATTGTTTTTTTTTATTGTTTTCCTTCATATAATATTGGAATATATATTGCATAATGTTTATTTATTTAAATTTATTTACATAAATTTGTTTATTGAATAAATTTATTTGTACTCAAAACCAAACCGATTTATATCAAATACTTCATGTGAAAACGGACATACGTTAACTGTG